GCAGGTGATCGCTTTGTCCGCGTGGACGGTGTCGAGATCAAGACATTCGATGATGTGCAAAGAACATTGATCGGGCGCGCCGGTGAGGAAATCCATTTTGTCATGTTGCGGGACGGCAAGGAGTTTTCGGCATCCATCAAGCCGGAAATCCGGGAAATTGATGACCCGCTTGGCAACAAGGTCAAGACTACCCTGATTGGTGTGAAGCTGGACCGCAAATCGGGAGCGATTCGTATCGAGGAACTCACCACCGTGCAGTCCCTGGGTGCGGCATTTGATCAATCACTTTTTATTGCAAAAGAAACCGGCAATTTTATCATTCGCCTGGTCAACGGGCGGGAAGACAAGTGCCAGTTAGGCGGGCCGGTGAAGATTGCGACGATGGCGGGGCAAGCAGCAAAACGCGGTATCGATTGGTTGATCCAATTGGGTGCCATGTTGTCGATTGGCATAGGAATACTGAATTTGCTGCCGATTCCGCCTTTGGATGGAGGGCATTTGATGCTTTACGGCATTGAGGCTGTCCAGAGAAAGCCGGTTTCAGCGAAAGCGCAGGATGTCCTGTTCCGGATTGGCGGAACGCTCGTGCTGATGTTCATGCTGTTTGTGTTCTACAACGACCTGTTTGGTTGCCGTTAGGCAAACCATTTGGCCTTCGTTTACCATAACCGCTGAAAGCTGGAACTATTCGTGTCTATTCCGCCACTTGGCGAAAAGAAGTAAACGGATTTTAACTCTAAGTCTTGCGTGTATGGGAAAACCGGCTATTACGGGCAAGGCTCTGACGGGTGCGCTTGCGTGTGCTGCGGGGAATCGAAATTTGCATAGGGTTCGGGACGACAAATGATCGCCAAGTCCATTTTGAAGTCAGCCGCTTCGGCTGCTGCCATTTCAACTCGTTTGGTTGCTGTTGGCATTCTTGCCGGTGGGCTGACATATGCAAGCGTGGCCTCGGCAGCTTCATTCTCTTCCGTCAGCGTAAGTGGCAATGTCCGCGTTGAAGCCCAGACAATCAAAGACTA